ACAATACTATGAAAGACAGAGGGAGGAGAGAAACAAAATCAATGTTACCTTGCAAGAAAAACTATTTACTTTTTACATATAATATGGGTTTTAAAACATACTGTACCATGTCTAAAAAATATTGAAGTTTGCAAATGACATTAAGATTTTGGGGGTTGTTAACTGTATCAAAGATGCTGCAGACTTACAGGGAGATTTAGATCATATAATGTATTGGGCCAATACGTGGCAGATGATGTTTAAATATCCAAAATGTAATGTGATGCATGTAGGTTTTCACAATTCCAATTATTGTTACAATTTAAATGGGAATACATTAAATACTGTGGTTGAAGAAAATGATCTTGGTGTTGTGATAAAAAAATCACTTAAGTCATCTACACAGCGTACTGTAGCTAGCAATAGGGCTAATAGGATTTTGTAAAGCATCTATAGAAATATTGAATACAAGAAAAGGGATATTATTGTTTTGGGCTCTCTTCCTCAAGAAAGACATTGAATTGTTGGAGAAGGTTCAGAGAAGAGCCACTAGCTTGATACCTGGTATGATGGGACTGTCGTATAAGGAGAGACTAAAATCTCTAAACCTGCTTTCTCTGGAGAGGAGAAAGGTCAGAGGGGATTTGATTAAGGTGTTTAAAATTATTAAGGGTATTGATTATATATATCCATCAAACTTTTTTGTGTTTAGCAGTGAAAACAATAGGACAAGTGGGCATAAATTCAAATTTTGGCAGCATAGGAGTCATCTACAATTTAGGCAGTGTTACTTTTCAAATAGGGTGGTTGGCTTTTGGAATGCGCTACCTTCAAGGATGGTGGAGGCAGAAAATTTAACTGAGTTCAAGAAAAGATTGGATGAATACATGAGTAGTAAGGGGGTGGTTATAGTTGGGAACTGGAAGGGACATCCTTGATGGACTAATAAGCTCCTTTTTGTCCCTTTAAAATTTTATGAATAAGCTTCCCTGAATAAATTTCTAAGATATAAATATTTTAAATATGATGTTTTCTTTATAATCACCAAGAGTAAGCAAATATGGCTAATTGAAGCTTTCTGATTACAAACATATCTGTACTTTTGTGTTGAATTGGTCAGAATGACAAGTTCTCATTAATTTGAACATTTAGAGGTTCTTGTTCAAGTGTTCTGGTTTCATTCTTAACTATAAAACATTACTCAAGATATAAAAGATATTAAAGAAGATAAATATTTAACACAACATAACCTTTATAATGATTAAAGATATGTCTTAAAAAAAGAAAAGAAACTACAGTGAAAAGCCATGTATAGTCAGGTAATAAAGTAGGGGTGAAATTCTGTTAGTACTCACTAGTACTGTGTACCAGAACTTATCTGAGCTGCTTTTTCAAATGTGTGTGCATTCCATTGTTCCATCAAAAAGCATTTATTCACTGATGCCCAAATTATAATTTTTTATGTTTACACAAAGATTTTTTTTCTTTTTTCAAAAACATATTTTATCAACCAACATTCTTGAACTAATAATTTTCATGATACTACAAAATAAAACATCCTAGTGTGCATCAATGCTTGAAAATAGTTATTACTGTTCTCAAGTTAATTTCTTTAGAAAAATGATCTTCGATTAACAGTTTCCTTAATATTTTATGTACATATGATACCAGTTATTTGTTTATAATATATGCTGTAATTAATTGTAAATATATTAAAATTTCTGTTCAGGTAACCTTCAACAAACCCCACATTTTACATACACATACACATATCTTGTATATCAGTAATGTTAACAATCACAGATGTGTGTATCATTACAGAAATAAACTAAGCTTCTGAAGTTTTCTGTACATTTTAAATGAAGAACTGTAATACATACAATGATAATCTGAACTTTACTTAGCTTTATTTTTCATATAATTTTCTCTTTTCATTTCTGAATTTCAAATGTACAAGTGTGGTATTTGTAAGTTAAATCAAAACAATAGGTAAGTTACCTTTGCAAATTTAGGAGATTCAGTTGTAGCTACTAATAAGTTTTAAAAGAGACTAGACATACATTTTCCAAAAAACTTTACAGACAGATGAACAGGCAGGCAAATCTGGTTAGGTCAAAAGACACCAAATTATAACATTATAATTTAGGTTGGATCTCAGTTTTGCTCCACCTGAAGAGGCTGAGGACACATGCTATTATGACGGGGTGACTGTTTGGTTAGAGATTTTATGGCAAAAATCCATATGGAGTATCTGCACCAAACAATTTTGTTGATTAATTACTACTTAAAATAAAGTAAAAGGTATAAGTGTAGAAGATAAAAATATAATGTATATATGGCAAGATTCTGTTTATGGTCGAAAAGTTTAAATAGAATTTTAAAAAAGCTCTGATCCTTCAAAAACTAAAAACATATCAGAACGAGTTGTACAATGTCATCATTTCCAATAATAATGCCCAATATTAATGGGACAACACAAGTTAAAGTATGTCCAAAATGGTGAACTTCTGATAGTTATAGGAAAAGCATGAAACTGAGCAAATATGAGTTCACTGTCACAATCCTCACACACTGACAGTTCTCTCCACTGGAGGAGAAAATGGTAAGCAATAAAACTATATCCAATGTAGAGCCACGTGAGGACAACTTTCTGCCTCCTATTACTGAACAAACTAGATGGCCAATCTCCAATAGTAGGTTTTACCTGGAAACACTTGTGTTGTTTCTCACCCCAAATTGTTTGCCAAGGTGCATGAAACATTGCTTTGATGACAGGCTTGAAATCCAGTTATGGAATAGGCAAAGCTGAGATGTTACCAATGAAGGTCGATCTGTCAGTGATCTCATTTCCCCAGATACTGACATCACTAGGAATCCAGAAAAAACTTGAATCAGGATAGTGAAAAAGGGGGCAGTCATTTTTGAATATTCAAGAGAACTGGATAGGAACTGATATTAAGAAATTTCAAAGTTTCAAAGAGCTAAGTAAGTTGGTATAGATGGTACAACTAGTGTACTGCTCAATTTCCATATAACCCAGGGCAAGTAAAATTGCATATGACTCGGCTGAGATCACGAAATCTGTAGAGGGAATCCTGTGAGAAATGATAAAGCTGCAGCAACTCATGGTAAATCCACACAGTCAACTGATTTTAACCTATCCTTAAAATAGGAATGGAATGATGGTTTGATATGTGTTCATTAAAAACATGGTGATACTTCCAGTCAGGAGTAACTGACTTCTTCATGTGTCTAGGCAAAAAAAATCACAGTGGGGAATGGATACAACCTATTACTGGATGAGCTGATAATCGGATTCAGCAACAGTATCAAATATCACCTGACTCAGTCAACTTTGCCTGGACATGAAAGACAAAAGGACGAACAGCAGACCATCTATTTGTAAATACATAATCTATCGAGGCATGAAAATACATGTTCATGGGATGTTATGGCAATCATAAGGACTTTACGGTGAAAAGCAAAGTAGCAAATGTACAAAATAAAGTGGAAGTGCATCATAGAACTCTGAATTAGAAGAGAGAAAAACCCCTGTGCACAGCCAAAGTCCCTGATGATGTGTAGGGTCTAAAATCTTTAATGCAGAGTCCCTGGCTGGGGCAAAGAACAGGGACCCATAGGATGAGGGCACAACAGATCTTCAGCAAAGAATAGGTCTCCAGTCCCGAAGAAGTGGAAAAAAGAATGAAAGGGATGTTCAATACTCTTGAACACTTGACTTTAACCCTTTCTGGGAGAAGAATATCATTGATATCCTTAAAACTTTTCATTTCATTCTCCCAATAGAAATACTTAACCAAATTGGATGAAACTTACAACAAACTTACTAAATAGTACCTAGCTTTAAAAATTCATATAATCTGATTTTTTTATCATTTTTTATACTGTGAAATTTCTAATATTTTGTTGCAAAGCAATTTTTTGGGAAAAAAAATTTCTTTTCATCTGAATTTTTCTATTTTTATTGTTGATCAGAAAATTCCATTTTATATATTCAGTCACTTTTAACTTCATTTATATTCAATAGCATATTTTTTGATGCATTATTTTTCCAATTGCAGCTGTCACCACTTTTGCCTTAATAACTGACAAATATTTATCAGTGACATAGAACCTTACTTTCCAAAATGTTATCAGGAAAGGCTATAAAACAATGTTCTTAGAATTTTTCTACCCATCCCAAAGCAAAGGTTTATATTTGCTAAGAAACTATCATCCCATGAAAATCTCATTACCCATGTTTTGTTTCTTACATGAGCTTTCTTTCCCCAAATGTTATTGGTATCGCTTCTCATACCCCCACCCTGTACTTGCACCCGATGATGACAAAACCTTGTCGAAACGTTGTACATTTGCTGTTATGTTAAACTTATATTAAAGTTTTTCTTCATTACCCATTCAAGCCATCTCCAACCATTACTAGTAGGGTGTGTTGCACTCCTATTGGAGAAGAATTGTCATATGTTCATTTGCATGCTAAAACATAGAAACAGCATGTAAAAACATGTGAGTTAGGTGGGAGCAAAACAAATTGGGCTTATAGAGGGCAGCACAAAATCAGGAAAATCTAATGTGAGACGAGATAAGGTATATTATCGGAAAAACAAAGTTAGTAGAAATATAATAACTTTTTTACTAAAAATAATGCTTAACAGTCACTTTTGGTTTTATGGTTACATTACTTCTGACAATTGAGTTGTAACTGATCTGCAATCTTAGTGAACCATGGATGACTAAATATTGTGCTTGTTTTTTGGTAATAATGTATTAACACATAATGGTGAAAAATTTGAAAATGATTCATGAGATAAAAATAAAGCAATAAAGTTACCCATGAATCCCTGTTAACTCTGGTACTAAGAACTTCTTTGCTCACATATTTTGCTTTGATGAAGACAATATTTGGTTCAGATGTTCTTGCCTGTAAAATAAGGTTCAAACATAAAAACAATAAGATATTTCAATCATACTTAATATCTTATTGTTTATCCTCTACAGTTAACTACCTGATATCAATGATGAAAAACAGAAGAAAAAGATATATATTTGCAATAAACGTATGAGCATTTAATTAAAAAAAATCACCAAACATAAATATAAAAATTTTTATGCAATAAAAAGAAGGAATACATAAATGTAAAACTAAAAGCACGTTTAATGATTTAATCAATATATAGAATTAACTGCCATCATATATATATATATATATATACATGCATAACCTTAGATGTTGTTGTTCTATGATAATTAAAGCTCTTTGTTATTAGATAATCTAAAGTTCCCCAGCCTGTCTCTCCAGGTTACTATCACTACCTTAGTTTTTCTTATGTAATGATAGTATATGTTTTAAACTTTCATCAGTGTTCACTAAGCCACACATTGTCATGATGGTTAGTGAACCATTCTAACATTATACATAACTGTTTTCAAGTGTATTGAAATCAAACTTTTCTTAGCACTTCTTAAAGCAATCCTATCAGAAGTTGATAACAATGTTGGTAAACATTAGATCTGATAATTTATTATTACAAATGGATTCTTTTAATGAATTTTAAAGTGTTTTTTTAATTAGGAAGATTGTGTTTAAGTCACTGAAGGTTATAGAAAAAAAAAACATTTACACATGACTACTTTCAGTGGGTGAGGAAATACAAGCTGATGTTTGAAGCTCTGAGCTGCAGCACTAAGTAATAGAAAAAGTCAGTCTGCTGTAGAAAATTTAAACTTAGAAAAAATACCACTTAATAAATTTTTCTGCATTTATTTTATGTTTACAGTGTGAATACCTGTAAATGTTACTTGTATGTATGACAATGGATAATCTTATGAAAACAAACTTCAACAATGTATATATGTCAAATTTGTAGATACAAGATGTCTGCCAATTATGTAAGTATGTGTATAATTTCTTTATTTGTGGCTTATTGTTCTAATTATGTTAGCTATACAAATTTGTCTTTAAAATTTGCCATTTAAAATAAGTTTTTATGAAAAATGAAAAAGGGCCAAGAGACTTTAAATTCCATTATACCAAATGTCTGAAGATTCCACAAACCAGTCTATAACTAAATCACCAATTTCAAATTCACATAAATTTTAATTAGCTATTTTTTTTTTTATAAGTACTCACCATGACCTGACTTGGCCCCCAGCTGAGGCGTGCCAACTGTACTGTCAAAATAAAAGTTTCACCTTTATCGATGTATAATACTTTTACATTGGGAGATATGGTTAAGAATGCAGTCTAGAGAATTAAAAAAAAAAGATGAAACATAAATCTTTTAATATCCTTGAACAATTTTTAAAAGTTAAAATATTATGTTTAAAAACATAAAAAGCCCACATTTACAGAGGTTAATGAATTATTAGCAACTAAATATTAAGTTTTTAATAACTTTTTACTTGTGGCATCTCAAGACTTGCAGCAAATGAAGCACAGAACCATCTGTTCACTGCAACAAGTTTTTAAATGTGGGTGAAAGTAAAAGGATGTGCCCTAGGTGTAGAGTGGTTAGGGTGCAATGGACTGTACATGGCAAGTTAACTGCATCCAAAACCCAGGCTGCCAGGAACCGACATCCATGTGGGGTAGGAAAGAAGATCATACCCTCTTCATTTGAACAGGACAAATCATAGCAATGTGAGAAATTGTTTGACCAATCTGGGAACCCAACATCTAGACAATCGGTATAGTAAAGATGTCTTTGTAATGTAAACTATCCCGCTCAAAACCCATCCAACAGGTACTGCCCCCAGTGCAATAACATACTAGGTATAAGAAAATCGAGGAATAACATAAAAGGAAAAAGCTTATTAATCTGAAAGTGTGACCACCATGACCCAAAACACAGGGGGAAGGAACAAGAGTAAAATTGAGAGAGGAAACAGAGACACCTATAATACATGTGTGAGGACTTATGTTGATTGGTTCAGCTCTGAATCCAAAACTCCGCCACTGGAAAACAACATCCATGTGGGGGTAGGATGAGAGATCCCAATCAAAGGGGTGAACTGCAATTTTGACTGCTGACTCAAAAGCTACAACATCCCCTCAGATAAACCCATACAGATATTGGAGGGCATCTCATCAGCTACACTAGCAGAACACCACAGCCCTACTCCCATCTGAATGATTTTATCATTATTTGTATCATATATCAATATCACATTCAGTAGGATGCTTCCATGGTCCACCACCCCAGTGGCTTGGAACTGGAAAGTGGTAAGGACTCCCATACTGCACTGGAAGAAAATACTGTGGAGAGTCCAGAGGAACATCAACACCACAGACAATGCAACAGGTGACCACAAAAACCCTATTTTGAAAAGCAGACTATACCTGATTTATTCAATAAGACATGGGAGGGATGGGCAGCTATCCTCTTCTGCTTTACCCATGAAGTCCATGGGTGAGTACAGTCTAGAACGGGCATATTAATGAAGCAAATATATCGCAATCTTGTGAAACACCCCATCACAACAGTGAGCATTTTATGGCCATGGAAATTAGAAATAAGTAGTCAACATGGCCTGACAGTGCAGATTTAACAATGAGAAGCATACCTGGTCAGGCACCGCTCGCCACAGAGCGGGATCCAGACAGTAAAAGAAAAAGAGAAAAAGAATAGATATATACATAAAAGATAACTTATGCAGTTACAGTCTCACCGAAGTCTGAAGAATGGCTACAGGCGGAAGACGATTACCCATGGATGAAAGCACAGCAATCTGATGCAGATAGTGAGATACGAATGTATGTGAGGTAGTCCACATGCCCAATTGAAGAATTTCCTCCAAGAGATGAAGGAGATGAGATGGCAGGGAAAGGTAAGGTGCCTGATCTGATGACAAGACAACTGGAAAAAATTACGGGAAGAAGAAGATAAAAAAGAATAAGCCAATCGAATCAAAAGCCAAATCCAACTGGTCAGGGTGGAAAGAAAAAGGTCACGAACAGAGGATCTATGCCAAGGAATGAATAGGTGGGAACGGGCACCACAGAAGAAAGCTGTAGGGATAAAATAACAATGAAGAGCACGAATGGGAATAGTAGCCTATCCTAAACCAATTGACGATAAATGTGGGAAATGGAAGGAAGAGAAGTCGGTAAGAAGGAGGAAATACTCCTCCCAAGGTGCTGAAGTTTTGGGAAGGAAAGATCAATCTGGATAAAGGAGAATATATGTGGAATGATATAGAGTACATGAAATGTCGATGGCAAATAAATCCAACTGAAATGTCCACAGGCTAATAGGAGAAGGAAGGAAGTCTTAAGGGATAAATGAAAAATCAAGCACGAGAACAGAGATTCAAACAGAGGAAAAGTGAGATAGTGAAGAACCACATTCATATCCCAATCTGGAAGGACTGCATGCTGAGGTAGATGACTAATCTGAAAGGAATGCAACAATAGAGAAAGGGTAGAAGAGGTAAAAACTTTACGATATCTGGAAAATTAAAATTGTGGGATAAGGCAACCCAATAACCTGTTATTGAGGAGACAAATGACTCCTGATCAAACAGCCGGATGAGGAAATTTGGAATATGAGGAACAGTGGGTCGAGCAGGGAAAAACCCTTGACCCAAAGGCCAACGGCGGTGAATATTCCATTTATGTTGAAAAATCTCTCTAGAGGAAGGGCATTTCAAACAAGCTAAAAAAGAAGTTACCCGCCAAGACAAAATGTATTTCCTCACAAGGGACTGGATAAAAAACAGGTGTGAAGACAGAGGATATGAAAGGCTGGATGAAACGTCGGTGACCAAGGTTGATGTAGAAGGGATGGTGTAAGAGGAAAAGGTAACAGAGGGACAGATTGGGATGGAACAGCCACGGAAACCACAGTTGTGCCAGCTGTTAAGGAGCAATTACAAAGACTAGACACGGAGTGGCATGGATGGTTGAAATCACCCTGTGAAGAAGATGGATGGGAGGATAAACATACAGGTATTTGTTGGTCAAATCTTCATTGAATGCATTGACAGCCAGAGAAAGAGGATAAAGAACTGGAGACCAAAACAGAGGTAACTTGGTATTTAGGCATGTGGCAAATGCAACCACGTAAGGAGGACCCCACTGAAGGCATAGCCTCTGGAAAACATAAGCAATGAGAGACCACTCTGTTAGATAAACTTTGTTGGGATGGGAAAGACAATCTGCAACAAGATTGAATGCACTCGGAACATGGCATGCAAGGATATGAACAATGAGCATGTGGGCCCAAAAAAAGGAGATCCAAGAATCGACCACAAAGGGAACAAGAACAGGTGCTACCTTGGTAATTGATATAAGCCACCACTGTAGGATTGTCAGAATTGGTCATGACCAGATGATTCCTGGCAAGATGAATAAAATGATCCAAAGCAGGATGTGCAGCCAGAAACTCCAGGATGTAGATATGGTAAGATATTTTGGCTGGAGACCACCAACTTGAAGCTTCCTGCTGAAAGGACTTCCATAGAAGACCTCATTTATAAAAGCAATAGAATCTTGCGAGCTGTAAAGGCATGGAGAACTGAAAGCTCCATCGAACGAAGCCAAAGAGGAGAAGGTTCGGCCAGATTGAGATGATTGTTGAAAGAGACACCCAAATGGACAAAATATTGGGTACGTATAAGGAATGACTTCTTCAATTTTATTAACCAACCCACATGAGCTGCTTCCAGGAGCAGCAGATGAGTGTGATGGGCAGATTCCTGTTTCGAATGAGCTAAGAGAAGCCAGTTGTCCATGCAATTATGGAAGTGCAACCCCTGAGCATGCAAATGTCAGGCAGAAGCCTTGACCATCCGACATAAGACATGCGGGACTGAAGCAAGCCCAAAGGGCAGAGTGCAAAATTGATAAACTCTCCCATGATGAAAAAAAACAAAGATAGTGCATCAACTGATGAGATACCAGGACATGTAGGTAAAATCAATTCTAACTATTGAGAATCAAGAAACAGACATTCAGCCTGATGGTAGGCCACGACAAATTGATCCAAAGCCCATGGTGGGCGAGGCATGCTGGCACCATCAACTCTCTCAGAAACAAAATGCTCAGAATGAACCCTAATATTTGGAGAAGGGGAGAAAAACGAATACTGAGAGGAGGAGGTATCATGTAACAAAGAAGGACAGGGATCATAGGAAATTGGGGAAATGGATAAAATACATCATACTTGAGAAATCATGTCTCAAAAAGCTGTATTAGGCCTAGGTGATTCTGCAGTAGGGGCACAGGAAGACACAGCAAAATCTGATGGAGGAAAAAGGCTGTCAAAATCCTCGTTGATCTGAACAGGTTCAGCACGTTCAGGAGGAATAGGGGCAAAATCAGAAGCAAGATGACTCATATAATGATCAATCTCATGGTAGATGATAGCTGAAAAGTCCAAAAACGAGTCACCTCCACCTGTAGCCTGTGTGAGTGTGCTAATAGAAGGTATTATCTCTGAAGTGGTAACCTGAACTTCAGAATTCATTGTGTAACAATGAAAATCAAACATAATCATTTGATAAGGAAGAAAAAATTAAAAACTGGGAAAATAAATTATCTGAAAAGTTGTTAACTACTGAAAAACAAAGAAAAAATCCACATCGGAATACTAATAATAATAAAAAAAAATCACGAAGTTGAAGAACAAAAAAACACAATTGAAGAGCATTACAAAACGTCTGGACATGAGTGCTACCAAACGAGAAGTGATAGTTCAATAGAATCAAATAGAGAGAGTCACATGTGTCAGGAGTGTGTGTCGCATTCTTACTGGTAGAGGATTGTCGCATGATGATTTACATGTGAGATGCATTTGAACAAGTTGATTTTAAGATATGTGGGAACTCAAGGCATGTGGAAAAAATATTTTGCATATAGAAAGAATCACTGAACAAGAATAGCTATTTATGTGAGAGTAGGTAATGTACTCTATTGGAATTAAAGGACTGAATAGACCTATATTTTGAGTCTCATGAGCTCAAGATTTACAATATTAAATCTTCCTCTATGTTACCATTTCAAATAATTTAATATGCAACTTTAATTCTATAGCTTAACATTTTTAAAAATTGTACATATTTAGAAAACCTTTTTCTTTTTTTAGCATTTTAATGCATTTGTTTGTTCCTGCTGTGATACAACTTTACAAGAGAGGAAAATTGTTTACTAATTTTAAGCTTCTTTAAATGCCATGTATACAGTATTCATGAACATGAGTGACGTATCACATGCATACACTATTTGCATAATAGATCACGTCATATCTTTTGGTCATGTTTGCATATGGGTTAAAACAACTATTCTGTCAAAAAATTATTTATTTCAAGTTTTTTGTGTGCTAAAAATGGAAATGAACAAGAATGATTGAAATTCATATAAAAACTAAAATAACTGCAACATGATGTACCTGTTAGATGTCTTTTACCTGAGATTTATGTATTTCAGTATTTATAAAAAAACGACAGTTAAATCTTTTTACAATTTTTAAATTAACTTACTATTTAATGGTTTTACCTAATTGTGAATGTTTTATTTATTACTGTAGATTTATGCTAATGTTTTAATGAATCCTTAAAAATAAGTCTGTTCTTCCCTATACCGTGGTCCTATAAGTATAATAATGACAGATGGAAGTACAATTATGGTTCAAATATGCACATGCATGATTTGCATCAAATATTTGTAACCAGGCAGCTTGTCAAACAGCAGTTTTGGTTATTGCGTTTTCATGGGTGCATGTGAATACACACATATGATGTCACAAGCATCATTTTGGTTGAGGTACGTATTTCTGGTAAACACCCCACTCCAATTACAAGAATTTCCAGATTGGAATGTGTAACCTGCATTAAAAAGCTTTCATTTTCAGATGCACAAACTACCATCCTAAAGATATTCATCGTTTTTTGTTAAAAATTGACTACCAACTTTCTGATGTCTTTGCATATACATTTTTATATTCATTACTTCCTAACTATTTCACTAAATATGTGTGTGAAAGATACTCTAACCTTTACTATGGAAACTTCAGTAACATTGGGGTACAAAATAGTAACTTCAAATTGTTTGCAAGAGAGGAAGAAGCTTGTAGCAGCAGCAGCTGCAATAGCTATACCTCATCAGACCATTCTACCCAACCACCCACATCCTGCCAATGATGCTCTCACCTGTGAAGTGTTGGATCACTTTCAGGTGAAATTCAAGTATTTTATCAAGTACCAAGGTAGACAAGACTCTCAGTTTTAACTGGTGGTTCAACAGGTGCAGAAGAGTCAACAAACACTGGGAAATAATGAACTCAGCTAATGATTTCAGAGAGTGCAAATGATTGCTTGCACTGAAAGGTTTGGTGGTCAGCCCATTTCTCTAAAGACTGAATGGATTTTGGTATGTACCTGTCACAGTATTTGGTGGGTAGCCTATCTCTCTCAGAGCTGGATGGAGCTTGATACATACCAATAAAGGTACCAGGATGGCAGAGTGAATTTCTGGAAGACACAAGAGTAGCCAGAACACTGGCAGATCTTGCAATATATCAATTCCTTTAAGTAAAACCATCACTTTGGCCAATGGATACTAATTTCATTATGGTAAATGATGATCAAGTGAATAGACATAAGTATCTTAATATTTATAGATAGCATTGCTCACACACTTAAGATAGTTATCAATGATCCTGGTTCTAGCATTGACATACTATTGAGTTATCCAATGCTGGCCTGATTGAACCTGGAAACTATAGGCTGCATAAGTGCATGCGAGAGAGCACATAACAGTACCTCCATTTACACAAGTTGTGTTCCATGTTTTACTGCAGATGAAGTTGAGTGCACCAGTAGTATGTAATGTGGTTATAGAACCTTCAAATGAAACGAGTATTTTCTATCCAAAAAGCAAGAAGCATTAGCTTGGACAGTTATCTGTTTAAGGAGAGATGAAGTTCTGGTACTGTTTTGTTGTTATGGGCAATCAGTTATCCAGCTTTCCACAGGAACAATCATTGAAACTCTAAGTGAAGTGAAAGTGACTAAGACCAGCAGTAACACTATGGTTGCATCCATAACATTGCTTCCAAAAAAAATACACTCCTGTCAACAGATTTGAGATAATTGTTGAGTATTGTGTAAACAATCTGGACCCAATGCAGTGACAGTAACTTCTTATTCATGTCTGGGATAAGATGGCCAATAAGGAGGAATTGTTGTCATATTTCTACATTAAAGGATATGTGTTTTTTAACTTATTGCTTTTGATTTATATGTTTCATTTTGAAGGGCCAATTTTATTAAGGGATGCAGTGATGTCAAATTTTTTTATGATGATGTAACTACTTCTTGTTGTTATGTTAGATGGTTATGATGTAATTTTTATTGTTGTGAAACACATTAGCAGACATATTTTAGCTAATGTTTTCCACATATCTGAGCTGCTACAATATCTGTGTTGAAGGGTATTATGGTACAAATAATTACTGATCTGTGCTAAAGGTGTTGTTTTTCATAATTATGTAAAGGTCCCTGTATTTATTCTTAAAATGCTTCATTTGTAGTCAACCATTGTTAAAGGGGTATTTGAATGTAACTACTAAGTTTCTTTGTTAAAAGTATGTTGTATGTGTTTTATATGGACAAGAAAAAGTTATGCAGCTCTTTGACTAACACACACTTTTAAAGTTTATTGGATTTCAAGTTAACATTAATATCCACTTGAAGACAAGCCTGAAATAAAGGGGGGAACAGCAGAAATGTGGTACATAAGCACACCATATGCTTGAGGTCATGACCTCTCTTTTGTTTCATTGTAAATGACCAGTCACGTAATGCTAACCGCTTAACATAAGTCTGATGTTAACAAGTTGAGTTAGTAGATTTATTCAGTCTGGAACACAATCTCAACAGAGTTATTCTTGCTTAAAAACTCCTTTGAATATCCTAGAACAACATCAAACTTAATTCTCCAGTAAAGGCAACTGTCCATTGTGGCAAGCGCATGTTTTACTGTGTTTGCTTAAATAAATTGTTTTTTATGATTGTACATTTTCATTCAGTCTCTATATTATTAACAAACTCAGTTTGTCAGAGAATATAAAATTATTTTGCAATATATATATCTTAACAAATCTCCCATTATTCAGTGGACATATCTTGTCACTCTTAAAGAAAATCAGTGCTATCATCCTAAAAAAGTGATATTTATCTTGCCATAACTAAATGCATTGAGATGCATAAATATCTTATAATACTATTAAATATATCATTCTGTTATTCCATTTTTACAATACATGGTCCACCACCCCAGTGGCTAGAAACTGGTAAGTGGTAAGGGTCTCCCTTGCTCCACTTGAAAAAGGGTGGAGGAATTTGCTGTGGGGAGAATCAGAGAAAATGCCCAGATCCACATTAGTCTACTGCCGGAAAGGTCTCTTACTGGAGACAGTGCAACAAGTGACCATATAAACCTATTTTGAAAAGCCAGCTAGTGCGAGCCAGAGAAGCAGGCAGAGCACCCTTGGTGCTGGCTTTTTGTATGATAATCCATGGAATGGGTATGGTTTGTATCGGATGGTAGACAGAGATCAGAATATTCCATGAGGATACCTCCAGTGGTCTTGCAAAACACCCCATCTCAACAGTGGGCACATATGGAGCCAGGGCAGATGGTATGAGTAATTTCCATTATCCTGGCTCAATGCAGAATGTGAGAAATAAGTGTACCCTGGGAGGCACCACTAGCTACCTGGCAGGACCCATGAAGCAAGGCTGTGAAAAAGAAAAATGGGGGAGAATGTACTCACCTGGCTAAGGACAGTGGGTAGACTGGATGATAGCAAACTGAAGTAGGTGGTAACCCTCCAGGGGTGAGATGGACAGATGGTGCAGATAGTGAGTGACGAAGATGTAAGATGTAGTCCACATGTCTGCCAGAAGGATGTCATCAAACAAAATTGAGAGGTGAGAGAATGGATGAGGTGGTGGATCTGATGTGAAGAAATATGGAACAGTCTGTGAGTGTCAACCCCCAAGGAGGAGTAGACCAATTGAAGTAGTTGACAAACCCAACCTGTAAGGGTACACTGGGGTAGGTCCCTGAAAGAAGAGTCTCAGGGAAGAAAAAAGCAAAGACAAAAGCCACAAAATAGTGTGGTGTAGGCTAAATAACAATGGATAGCTAGAGCTGGACACAATATTCAGTCCTAATCAGTGCAATCATAAAGGAAAGGAGATATTAGAGAAGGAACAGTCTCCTTCCCAGGCTGCAGAAGTCTTAGGGAGGAAAGACTGGTCACAATAAAGGAGAAGAATGAATGATGGAAAAGGTGGTATAAAGAGCAGGTGGCCAATGGTTTAAATGGGGCCTGGATAAGAGCATACAGGACAACAATGTGTCTTGTATCTTATTTGTCTACTTCAAGAATGGTAGCCACTGATGACAAATACTGAAAATAACTGTCACTTTAAAGTAAATTGTTTTTGTGCTTCACAGATACCACTCCACTAATGGAACAACTGTGTTCATCCAAGCAGGTATGCCCATCCCGGTGATAGCTATTCTTATTGTTACATAAGATCGGGGTGCAAAGCATTAAGACTGTTAAAAAGAAGGATGTGATAAACAAAAATATGGCAAACCCTGCATTAGGATGTCATTATAATTATAAACTTCCATAATAGTTCTTCTGTTATAATAAGACATACAGTATTAGATACTAATATACCTCAAAACAAGTGCCATTTGTTCCTTTCTGAGAATTATCTTCCTGTTCAGTAAGTATCACTTCTACTGATCTATAATTGAAAACAAACAAGTAGCTACAGCACAATCAACCATCAAAATATCATATTACTAATAAAAACTAGCTAACCTTTGAATGTTTACTGATGAATCAAGCTTATGGACTCGCTAGTCATCTTATTACCCTTATTACTAAGCCTGTATAAGCATGCCATATAAGATTACAGTCATTTAATAAAAATGTTGAATTGTTGGTAAAAAAGAATTCAATAAAAATAAAACTGTAGTTATAAATAACTTCACAAATTTGGCCACTAGTGAATCTGATGTTGAAATATGTATACATCAGATAGCTTTTATTTTCGATAAAACAGTCTGTAACGCTAATACACTTTTCTTTTGGGAGGCTATTTTGCTTTATTTGAATGCATAAATATGCATTTTGTAGTAGCATATCATTGCTATTTTTATTTCTTATCTGATAATACAATATATATATATATATATATATATATATATTTCAAAGTTATAAAATACACATAATTCTTTCTTGTAAGCTACAGTTTTGTTTCTTCATTCTTAATCTTCATTTTCCACCATCACATCTTCGAACTTATTAAATACTAACCTAAAGATGAAGGCCAATAATCAGAACAAACTTAAGCCATTGAGATTTACAAATAGCAATAATTAGAACCTAATATGATATTGATATCATTCATTAGGACTGCTCTATGTTGGTAAACTCAGAAAGAAAAGAACTGATTCCAGTTAACCATCAAATATAATTCAAACTAAAAGTGAACAGAAATGTTACTGGTTACTGAATATATTTTTGTTAAACTACTATAAATGATACTAACATGTTCTTGCAAGTGACCTGCAACAGTTAACAATTAAAATTATCATAATTAACAGACTACAGCTTCAATTCATACTGTAGGATAGAAAAAATAGGTGCAATGACTGTTAGTGGGATATTAAATTTGTTGTGGGAAGGGTACAATACTACCCTTTATTAGGCAGGTTATTCTTATTTCTTCATTAGCAAATGGTGCAAAATAAAGATATACAGTAAAGCTTCAGAAGAAAATTGAGAAAAGCTAAAAATATCATTGTCTAATCTGATTTAGTCACCAAAACATCATCCATGCCCAAAATAAGATACAACCTTCTAATGATAGAATTACAATGTTTTAATACAAGGTTACCAAAGTTTCTTCAAAATATAAATGCATATAATTTTTTGCTAAAAGTTTACTCGTGAAATAATGAATCAAACTTTTATATTTTATTTGCATTAAAAAATACAATGGTAACCAAAACATTTTAAGTAATTCACCTTTCTCATCAAAACTGTTATGAATAATTTAGCAGTTAATTCTTAAATTTTCAGTATTATTGAAATTCACCCAAACACTTTCCACAATCTACAAAACCTCTTTAAATCTTCTATCACTGCCTAAAAGCATAAGTCTTGTTTTCTTATATATGCATCATTAAACTTCAATTATTTCCTTCTAAATCTGGGGAAATATTTTATTTAAAAACTATATATTATAAAGCTAATCAAAAATGGTATTTAATACCATTTTACACTGAGCAATAAATTACTAAGTATGAATCTATGATTAAAATATAACTTATAAAGATAATTTTTTAACCTCTACTTAACATTTTCTTTGCCAGTGATTGTACAGAATATATGAAAGTAGCCAAAACATGTATCAACTATAAATCAGTTATAACATATGCAACAGTACTTTCTGAAAGAAAAAAAACTGGTAGAAAAAAAAAGTTCAATTTTGAAACTACCACTTTACAGAACAAAAAAAAATCGGAACTGTTTTTGTGTACAGGTAAATATTTCAGTTTTTACATAATACTTTAGGGTGTACATTGCAGGAGACAGATAGTTTCAAATGAAGATTGCAAAAAACAGATATTGCTTAACTAATTTGCTTTTAAGGTTGAAATTAAGGAATTTTTAAAACTTCTGGATATCAACTACTCCTGACTTTGAACATGAACTTTATAGCTGACTGACATATAAAACATTCTTCATTTATGTGTACCAGTCTTAGGGAATGTTACGACTTGATTTCATTACATTTATAGTTGTTCCTAATTTCTCATTTAATTCATTTTTTTAGTAACATTTTGTATCAACTTGATATAACAACACAAAAATATTAAATTTAGATGACATTAAAAGGTCAAATTTAAATATATTGCATTTAAAAATCAATATAAACAGTAAAACTGTTTTATAATCATTAAAAATAGTTTAAACTTAACTTGCATACTGTTGAAGGAGCTTGGAAATAAACAAATTAATAGGATAACTAAGGACATGAGGAGTTTTAGGGCATACAAAATTAATAAAAATAAGTCTGTCACACTTAGAGATATGCTTAGTTACCATTATTCTTATATTAGGAGTATCATGAGCTAAATGGATCAATTCAGGTCTCAAGTGTAATTGGAAGACTGTGATATAATGGGAATTAGCAAACCTTGTTAGATTTGTGAAACATTTAGTACAGGAATTTTTTTGTAATTCCAGGATATAAATTATTTAACAGTGATAGACATTGTAAATGGGGTGGTGTAACTTTTTTTATTAGTGAGGAATTGCATCCTATTGGGAATGGAAATATGAAAAATGGTAGTGAAGGGATTGAATATATATGGGTTACAATCGGGTATTTAAATGGTAGAAAGTTTTTAAGTGGCAAATATTACAAGCCAGTACAGGTCAGACAGTTTGTGTCAATTAGAGATTATACAATAAGTCAGGGTTGTTTGCTGTGATATTTTCAAGTTAACTGATTTCCCTACAGATAGTTAGATCCACAAATAACAGCAGATTGAATCAGGAAATGAGGAGAGTAATCTGTGTTTGACAATGTGATTGAGTCTTTTAGTGTGTGTGTGTGTGTGTGAAATAATGATAGAACAAGTTTAACAAAACGAACACAATCTTTATTACAAAACAAACAAAAAGAAAATACTGTGTGCATACTTGCACACACACAAAACAGTCACATCTGCCAGATCTCGATTAAATCCACAGCTTTCATTCTCTTGGGATAAACTTCTGTTGACATACAGATAGTGCTGATTTGACCAGCAAAGGTTATTACAGTTATTAATCTTTCAACCCAGATGTTATATGGTACTACAATATACTCTCAGGCAGAATAGACATTATCTAATAATGAGAACAAAAAAATAAAACTAGATCAAATAAAGCAGGTAGGAAACATATCATACGCCTTCTTATCACGTTACTAATAAGGATACTGATGCAATAACTATGAAAGACGTTTAGATACACTCAATGGGACTTTATAGTAAAGAGGGAGAATAATTTCTTGAAATGATCCCGGCTGGTTTTCTATATCAAATGGTCAAAAAAGAGGAGATGCAAATTCAGAATTATTGTTAATCACTAATGATAATTTAGTAGCAAGAGATAAAGAAAATTAACATTTTTGGGAAATACAATCACTGCACAATTAGTGTTGATGTTTTGCTTAAACGTTGAGAAAAAAAGAAAGAAGAGAAAATTTAATTCTTATTTTTCAAAATTCCAATTTTAAGGCCACAAAGCAAGATTTATCATTAGTAATTGAGATAGTGAGTTAAAGAATGATGTGAGGTAGATTACTTTGAAAGTTTTATAAAATAAGTTACTTTTAATTCAAGATAGGCATTTTCCTATAAAGATGAAAAGAATAACAGAAGATTAAACATAATTGAATTAAAGACATAAAAAATAAATGCCTTAAGTTTAAGAGGTTCAAATCGACAAATTGACTTAGAGATCTGATTAAAAATTAACTAAGAAATCCAAAAGGGGTTATGAGAAATAGCTAGCTAATAATGTTAAAGCTGTGATATTTTCAAGTCAAAGACATTTCCCTCACATAAGATACGTCCATAGAAGAAATGGAGATTTGATAAGGATATTTATTACACAGTAGTTCTGAGTTCCTTAAGTAAATGAGTTTGTGAAAAGGAAACAGAGGGACCATACACAATGTAAAACCAAATGAACAGTCTTTATTTATAACATGGTGTTTGTACTTGCTTTAGATAAAAGCAACTTAATTAATTTCTTGATCATGTGTCATGTGAAAACTGCATGCATTAGAAAAGCTGACAAATTCCAAAAAACATGCTATTAGAATAAGAAGGCAGAAAATGAATGGTGTGCTTATATACCACATGGGCAGTGCCAACTGCTCTGTGTTAATCTGACAATACAGTTATCTATGTAACCTTAGGGATATAATCTTGACCAATACAGTTTAAAAAGGAAACAGTTTTCCAATCAGTAAAAAAAAGACTGTCCAGCATTTAAAGAAAGTATATACTGTTTGTATTCTAAATAATAAAAATTGTTTATTGTGTCTTAAACTGTGTATAGTCTTCTTATATCAATCTTACAAATTCAGTCAGTTTCAGAGAAATTAGAACTTTGTAATAAATATCTTGTTGAATTTCCTGTTATTCACCAAAGTAGTTACTGCACAGTTTTATGCTTTCTGTTGATATTTGTGTAGCCCTTTAAGTTTAAAAAAATTCACTGTAATGAAAATGGCACTTCCATAACTTGAACAACTTAGACCAAGAAGAAGAGTGAGTCAAAGAATGTAGATGGTTCTTTGTTAGAGTTTTGGGGTCTAGATTAAATGTTTTCTTGGACAAAGAACTTTTGCTGATGCTTCAAAGATACATTACATCTATCTCGTTGCAGCTAACAACTTAGGAATGAGAGCCACCAATATATGGTGCACTTAGAATGGCTGTTCACAGTCTTTTTTTTGAGAACTGACCTCAGTGCAAAGGAAGTAGGGATGACTGATGGTTGTTTCGGTGGCAGTATGGCAATTAGCAAATTACAGACTGAGTGAGGATACTCATAGGACCTCGATACCTTTGGCAGCCAGGTAACCCAACTCCAGCTCTGGTTGAAACCACCTGAGAATGTTGAGAAGAGACTGGAAGTGTGATTCATGAATGATGTTCTCCAACAGGAGCTGTT